TGATGGTTTCCAGGTTCATCCATGTCCCTACAAAGGACGTGAACTCATCGTTTTTGATGGCTGCGTAATATTCCATGGTGTATATGTACCACATTTTCCCTATCCAGTCTATCATCGTTGGGCATTTGGGTTGGTTCCAGGTCTTTGCTATTGTAAACAGTGCTGCAATGAACATTCGTGTGCACATGTCCTTGTAGTAGAATGATTTATAATCCTTTGGATATATACCCAGTAATGGGATTGCTGGGTCAAATGGGATTTCTATTTTTAGGTCCTTTTTAAATTGTATACATGTGTAAATCTCTAGTACGTAAAATGTGCACAGAAAAAAACAAAAAGGAAACACACCAAAATGTTAATAGTACAACAGTACTTCTCTCTGTCTGTTGTGTGTTTTTTTCTTTATATATTTTTCACTCATTCATCATCGTAAACGTGCATTAATTTAAAAATCAGAGAAAAAAATACGCTTTAAGATAGTGACAGTTAACTTTTTAAAATCTCAACAAGAAGAACTTTTCCCTCATGGAACTCTGTATTGCTTTAAAATGCTGAAATGTTTTACTCTATTGAACAGAGAAGTTTGAAAGTAGAAGCAAACTCTATTCCACAGATATGAAAAGGAACATGAAACCCTCCTTCCTCCCTCTGACTCATTTCTGCTCCCCGTGGACTCCTCTCCCCTGCTCACTCCCTGGCTCTGATGCCCTCACTTTGAATCACCCCATGTTGTTTCTCTCTTGTACTTTGAATCATGCCATGTTGTTTCTCTCGTTTCTTGGTACGTATCAGGTTCCTTTCAAAGTCACTCAGCAAACATTCATCGCCTCACTCCTCAATGCCAGCTCTGAGCCAGACACTAGACAGTTTTACTTCAGGTTAGAGGATGAGTTTCTGTCTGGAAAAGCGGGACTTCCTACTTCCTGGGCTCTGCCTGGGGCTCCCAAACTAAGGGAGGAGCCCATCCCTGGACACCACTGACAAAGGTCCTATGCTGCATCTCCTCCATAGCCCCCTGGACATCTGTCAGTTCAAATGCCTCTTCCCCTGACCAGGCCACTATCATTTTGTTGTCAGAGGGATTCCTAGCAGCCGCTCCACCTCCTCTCTCGCTAAGCTCCATTCCATCTCGATGCTTTAGCTGAAGCCATATTAATTTTTCATTTCTTTTTTAGAAGGGTTTTGCTATGTGTCCCAGGTCAGATTCAAACTCCTGGGCTCAAACAATCCTCCCAACTCAGCCTCCAAGTAGCTGGAATTACAGGCATGAGGCACCACCCCTCGGCTTAGAGACATATTTCTAATATGAAATCCAATGACATACTTACCCTCCTTAAAATCCCTCAATACCCCTCACCCCCACCGCCTTCTCCACCACTGCTGCTTTTGAGACAGATTCTAAACTATTTAACCTGGCTGTGTGACTGGCCCTTCCTAGCCTCTCTGACCTCATACTACGTCTCATGTATTTATATTTCTACACACACACACACACACAAACACACACACACACACACACGTATGTATTAGAGACAGAGTCTCTCTCTGTCACCCAGGTTGAAGAGCAGTGGCACAATCGCAGCTCACTGCAACCTCCGCCTCTGGAGTTCAAGCAATTCTCCTGCCTCACCCTTCCGAGTAGCTGGGATTGATAATCCACCACCACATTCAGCTAATTTTTGTGTTTTTAGTAGATAATGGGGTTTCACCATGTTGACCAGGCTGGTCTCGAACTCCTGAACTCAAGTGATCCACCTGCCTCAGCCTCTCAAAGTGCTGGGATTATAGACATGAGCTACCGCACCCAGCCCCTCATGTATTTATATATTTATTTACTCCATGAGTTTGGGTGGAGCACTTTCTATGTGTCAGGTATTGGGCTGGGTGCAAGGGGTACAGCCCTGAAAGAGACGCACCCTGTTGGCTTGGAAGTCAGTCTTCACTACAGCAGCTTTCTGTCCTTGCTACTCCAAGTGTGATCTGTGGACTAGCAGCATCGGCATCACCTGGGAGCAGAACCTCAGATCCTTTGCTAGACCCTCTGCATAGAAATACACATTCCATTCACTGGTGAGTTCTTACGCATGTCAAAGTTTAAGAAGCATTGCTTTGTGTCTCTTGAACCCTCAATGCTCTCTCTTCCTGCTGCCCTCTTCACATGCATTCAGCCTGGGATACTCTTGGCCCTGATCTTTGTCTAACTCCCCTCTATCCTTCCAGTTTCTGCGTGGCATTTATGCCTGTTAGGAAGACTTCATTCCCTAACCTCCTAAGTTGGGGTTATGAGCCACCTGTGTGGTGTCGCCATCAAAGCACTTATGGCTCTATTCCGTGGATGCTGCCCCTTCCCCTGCAGATGCTGTAAGAGCAAACACTTTGTCTGTCTCTTCATACTTGCATCCCCAGCAGGAAGCTTAGTATCTGCCATAAGGTAGTGAGTCAATAAAATCTATTGAAAAAAAAAAAAAAACCCACACACAGAGAATCCAGTGCAATTGTACAATTCCCAGGCTTAACAAATAAGTTCAAGTTTCTTAATTCCTCAAGAGAAGATGGGATTTGGAAGTAGAGAGCAGGTCCTAGGAAGAAATCAACATTATCTGCATCATTTCCTTAGTTTCATGGCTCATGTTTTATGTACAAGCTCAGCCTTGTCCAGAGCCCCTGCGGCCCACTAGGCATCTTTGTGTAAATTAGAAAGAGAGACCAGGCGCGGTGGCTCACACCTGTAATCCCAGCACTTTGGGAGGCCGAGGTGGGTGGATCACGAGGTCAAGATATCGAGACCATCCTGGCCAACACGGTAAAACCCCGTCTCTACTAAAAAGACAAAAAAATTAGCCGGGCGCGGTGGCACATGCCTGTGGTCCCAGCTACTCGGGAGGCTGAGGCGGAAGAATCGCTTGAACCCAGGAAGCGGAGGTTGCAGTGAGCCGAGATTGCTCCACCTCACTCTAGCCTGGTGACAGAGCAAGACTCCGTCTCAAATAATAATAATAATAATAATTAGAGAAACTCCTTCCTCAGCAATGATGCAATTCCAGACCAGGGTCCATGGAGGACTCAGCAAGCAAATCACAAGCTGGTTTCCACTTCCCTCTAAACAGGGTACAGCCTACACAACCATATGTGGTGGCCCTGCCTTGAACCCACAATAAAACTGAGAATGGCCGTGGAGCAAACACTGGAAACCAGTCCTGGTGCCACGTGACCTTGGATGAGGAATTAACTTTCAGCTGTGCCTATTTTATAGAGCTTAGAGAATCTACATTTTTAAAAAACAGTCATGCCTTACACAAAGCTCACTTTCTAAAGGTAAAGGCTAAGGTAAAAAGTGGACATAACCATAATTCCTCTTGAAAATGCTTTAATATCACCCACAAAGAAGAGCCTGAGGCCCAGGTTGACATGCCACTTTGGAGACTTTCAATAAGCCTACCGCAACCTTCAGGGAGGAAAGAAGTGCTGATTCTTTGGTAGCCCATCATTGGAACTAGTTGGTTTTCCTGGGTAGTTCATGTCTACCTAAAGTACAGAACTTCAAATATCAGAATCACTTTCAGCATAGTAAGATACTCATAATACAGGCTCTTCGGCCCCAGAGGGAGCTAGCAAAAGGCAGACCACTGTCTCCCATCTCAAACTCTGGGGTACATGCTCACTGAAACAAATGTCAAGTGAATTATTAATGCTGCCAGTGTGGAAAACTTTTCACCTATTCCATTAGCTTATGACACATGTACAGACCATGTCTTTCCATTGAGAAAGCCACTATTGGTATGCTTCTGGTAAGAACTGTTGCTTTGAGTTGAGTTGTGTTCCCCCATACTGGAAGGACTGGGATACAGCCCTTCACGGGCTTTCCCCTCATTCCTCTCCTAGCTAACAGTGGGGTGGGAACTAGATCTGCTGGCAGAGAGAATAAACTGGAGCAAGGCAACAAGAACTCCATGTGAAAGCTGTGGTAACAACCCTCTCGGACTTGTGAATGGCCAGTGCTAATCTCTCAGCTCAGCATCTGCAAAGACCACCAAGCAAACAATAAGCTCAGTCACCTACTCCAATACCCAAGACCCGAAAAAAGTCCCAGCTCTTCCCAGATAAAAACAACACAGGCCTTTTACTTTCCAGGGCAAAACATATCACTCAAACCTGAATGCAACCAGATTAAACAATTATCCTCATGTGCCACAAGGACCACCCTGGAATTGTTCAGTTGAATCAATTTCCTACCAATCAATCCTACACATAAAGCATGGAACTTCTTACAAAACAAAATAGTGTTTTTAAAAACAGAAACACACCACTATCAATACCCATATAGCCTTGCTAGTGCCATATGCCCTACTTCCATACTTCTGATACAGCTAATCTTTAGCAAGAAACCTCCTAAGAGAAGACGAAGTTTTATACTTATGCATGGCTTATACTTATGTTGACCTAAAACCTCATTAACATACTTTGTGGAAGTAATTGTAGCCAAAAACAAATACAAATTAAGAATGCATTGTTGTTAATACTGGAGATAAACTTTTACTTAGAAACTCTTAATTAGGCACCCACTGTGTTACTTGTGCTAAGTGCTGTGGAAGATAGATACAAAGATGAACTGGACAGAATTTCTGTCCCACCTTCTCTCTCCCTTTTTGAGACTCTGTCTCAAAACAAAACAAAACAAAAAGTCTACAAGTACCTTAACCTAGCAACTCACCATATGTAAACCAACAGGGAAGAACACTAACTCTTAGCAACAACAAAATAGATCAAGAAGTCTTAATTTGTCAGTGACAAGAACCTCATCAAATATTCCTACTGTTTCCTTTATGAGAAACAGTGTAACTGATTAATGCATATCATTCATCCCAGCATACACAATGACTTCAAGTAACAGCATTTAGCTGATGGGAGAGAAGAAAAACCAAGACAGCAATAGAGGAAGAGGAGATATTTTACTATTTCGAACACATAAAGGTATGGTTTAGAATGATCTCAATACTCACTGTTCTTCTTGTACATCAAAATTTCAAAGGAATTCATCTCATAATTCTCAAATGTTTGCCGTACTTTTTCAATAGTATCTTTATCAGTCAGCTCCCCATACATAAAACTGCAAACAACCAAAGAACTCAAGTTAGATTAGCAAGTATTCATCATTCTACAAGCATATGTGAAATATCTGTTCTATATTCAGCACTGTGCTAAGTACTGTGGAATACACACACACAATGAAAACATTAATGGACTCAAAAAAATTTACTTGTTCAACTGTGAATAAGACTTTTTCATTGCCTCCAAAAACTAACATTCTGATGAGAGATACATACCATAAAACAGCAGATCAGAAAACAGTGGATTAGAGAACAGTGTGATCACTGCCACAATGTTAGCACACATAACGAATTACAGAACACACAGAAAGGGCACCAAGCACTCTATAGTTGGTCAGAGAATGCTTCCCAGAAGTAAGGATAAATTAGGTAAAAGGGGCAGGAAAGAGGTGAAATGGCTGAGAGAAAGAAGGAGAAAAACATTCCAAACAAAAGACAAACCAACTGCAAAGGCACAGAGGTGACAGATTAATTCCAGACTCTGATTATAGTTCATTTCAATATGACTGGAATATAGACACTGAGAGGGAAAGTTGCAACAGTTAATAAGGAGAAGTAAACAAAGGCAAGATCATGAAGGAGATCTCAGCATTAAAAGCCATGGGAAGTAATTTGATCTTGATCTTGAAAGCAATGGGAGCACATGGCAGGGTTTTAAGCAAAGGAGAAACGGAATTAGATTTTGGTTTAGAAAGGCAACTCTGGGAGATTTCCTGGTAAAGATGGATGAGTGAGTTTATACCACAGATTTTTCCTTTTCTAGTCCTCAGCAAAATAAATTCATTTATTTAAATGTACATGCAACTTATTAGAGAAAACCTCAGGATAGTAGAAGGTCTACCTACTAACATTAGTTCTCAGCAGAAGCCAGAAAAGCACCGAAACTATTTTCCTGGGCCCCACACTGAATCTGGTCTGAAGATCATGGTTTGTCCCTCTGGGAACAGGATATACTCCCAATTAAGCGGAATGAATAATGGCATAGGAGACTAACGAAATGCCAGAGGAGAAGGGAGAAAAAAACATCTTTCAGTGGGTCTGGAAAGTCCAAGTCTCTGGCAAAGGCTGCCCATGGGCCCAGCAGGCATCTCCCCTGGCAACCCCAGGCTTTCAGACTGCAGTAACAGGAAAGAGCAGCCATGATCACGCCTCAAGTCTTAGGTAATGCACAAATTGCCACGGGTTCCCAAACAATACACTTCTCATCTCCTATGACTGCAAAGGAAATATAATCTAACTTTTTTTGATGACTTGAATCACAGAAACAGAATTTCAGAGCTACAAAGAACCTCAGAGATTATCAAGTACAATTTCTTATCTAAAACGGAACCACCAAGTCAAGCACCATGCTTAGCTTGATACTGGAACAGCCTTGGGCTTACTACAGGCTTCCAAATTCTGGTACCCAATAAGAAGAGAGTCCTAGCCGTTGACTTTGTGAATTCTGTATCACAATTGTTATTTGATGTCCCTTCTCAGCACCCTGAGGAATGTGATTATCTGTGGTTGTCCTTATGCACTCATGTAGTACTCTGCTTTCAGGCTGTACTCTTTGCCTATAAGGCAGGAAATAGAAAACTGAGCTTGCTGAATCATCTCTAGAAAGAAGACAAGATCAAGACTAATTTAGCCCTGACTGAAAATAAGAGGATTTTTCTTCTTTCTCTTTCTAATTTTCTAGATAAGTAACCTCCATTTAAATGAAGTGATGGTATATATGCTAGCAATTTCCTTAACAAGGTAAAAGAAATCCCTGTAAAGTTGAATTTTCAAATAAATGAAGTGCCATAATTACACCAGTTTTCATTTGTCTTGTTACTTTTTCAAGCTGTAGGTTGCCAGTAGTTTTGTTTTGTTTTGTTTTGTTTTGGTTTGGTTTGGTTTGGTTTGGTTTGGTTTTGGTTTTGGTTTTGAGACAGAGTTTCGCTCTTGTTACCCAGGCTGGAGTGCAATGGCGAGATCTCGGCTCACCGCAACTTCCGCCTCCTGGGTTCAGGCAATTCTCCTGCCTCAGCCTCCCGAGTAGCTGGGATTACAGGCACGTGCCACCATGCCCAGCTAATTTTTTGTATTTTTAGTAGAGTAGAGGTTTCACCATGTTGACCAGGATGGTCTCAATCTCCTGACCCCGTGATCCGCCCGCCTCGTCCTCCCAAAGTGCTGGGATTACAGGCGTGAGCCACCATGCCTGGCCTGCCAGTAGTTCGAAGTTTCCTTTACCTGGATCTTAGATTGCAAATGCTTGCAATGTCCAAAATAAATAAAAGAGACTCCTGAGCTCTCAGGAACATAGATAGCACAAAGGTATGTTTACTTATGGAGAAGGGATACCTTCAGGTAATTCAATAAGTTGATGAGAACTGTGCATAAAAGTTGGCTAAATTAGCAAGTTATTTTATTTGGTTTCCTTACAGTGTCTGATTATAGCCAATAAGTAGGAAGGTAAGGAAAGGCTGTTCAAGTCACACTAAAAAGTGAAGCTAAGTCTCTCAAATTGTTCTGATTGTATATGTGCAATACAGATAGAGATGTAGGTGCAGATAAATAGATCTATAAATACTTAAGAGGATAACAGCACATGAAAAATATAAGATAATTCTATAGCATTAAGAATTATAATTTCTAAACCTTTGAATGGTCAGTGGGAAGAATCTTCAATTTCCATTTCTCAGTCCCCAAAATCTAAGATTTAAGAAAGTGGAGACCAGGCACAGTGGCTCATGCCTATAATCCCGAGCACTTTGGGAGGCCAAGGCAGATAGATTATGAGGTCAGGAGTTTCATATCAGCCTGGCCAAGGTAGTGAAACCCCATCTCTACTGAAAATATATAAAAAAAAAAAAAATACAAAATAGCCAGGCATGGTGGCGGGTGCTTGCAATCCCAGCTACTCAGGAGGCTGAGGCAGGAGAATTGCTTGAACCTGGGAAGGCGTAGGTTGCAGTAAGCCAAGATCGCACCACTGCACTCCAGTCTGGCAACAGAGTAAGACTCTGTCTCCAAAAAAAACGTGGAAATATTTTCAAAACGTTTGACACTTTCCTCTTATGAGCTCAGACACTTATTTTATTTTAGAAAAGTATTTTATTTTAAAATGCTTGTCACCAATGGAAAGTGACATGGCTGATTTAATAAGTAAAAATGCAACTTCTGAAAACAGAAGACTGTTTGGTCAGAGAGGCTTCTCTACTCTTCACAGATGAGTTTGCTTCTTGATTTGGCATGAATGATTCCGCTTCATGCAAACACTACTGAAGACAGAAGATTGAAGAAGGCAGAGACTAAGGGGAGCCAAAAGGCTATGGTGGGCCAAGACCTTGCCAGGGCACAGCAGGGGAATGCTGGCAGGATCCAGGCTACATGTCTGGCTAAACACCTGGAAGACTCTTTAAAAGAGCTTTTCTAACACCACGGCCCAAGGGCACTGCTTGGTTAGAAACCTCATAAAAATATACCAGCTACACTGTTAGTACAATTTGCTAAGAGTGCAGAGAGAGAGATGTAACAGCATGAATTAGAAGGCAACAAAATATTGGTTCTCTTATCTTTTTCCGAAGTAAAAAATTTTGGCTGAAGCCGGTCATGGTAGCTCACAGCTGTAATCCAGCATTTTGGGAAGCTGAGGCAGGTGGATCACCTGAGGTCAGCAGTTCAAGACCAGCCTGACCAACACGGTGAAACCCCATCTCTACTAAAAATACAAAAAAAAATTAGCCAGGTGTGGTGGCACGTGCCTGTAATCCCAGCTACTCAGGAAGCTACATCAGGAGAATCACTTGAACCTGGGAGGCAGAGGCTGCAGTGAGCCAAGATCACGAATTGCACTCCAGTCTGAATGACAGAGCAAGACTCCATCACAAAACAACAAAGAATTCTAACTGAGGAAAATCTCTATAAACAAGGCCCTTGTCTCCAACACTGTAGCTACTCTTCTAAAATGCTCATACATTTTTCAAAATTATTTTAATCATCTAAAATTCCATTTCACTGTATTTGAGCCCCTTTCACATTTAATTTCATCTAAAATGCCATAACTTTTGAGTTCACATTTTATAGACAGAATGGTCTTCCTGAGTTCTTCTGGGTTCTCTCCCATCTTAGTGACTGCGAGTTGGTCAGTTTTGGGAACTATGTTTTACATCTGCTTTGATTTTTCCAGTACAGTACATGAACTAGAGATAATATGGCAATAAAAATTCCTGTGAATACACACTGGATGAGGTAAAGGCAATTTCCAAATGCAGTAAGCCATTTTCTTTTCCCAAAAGATACCATAGGAGATTGTTCACCAGAACAACCCCAAACATAAATACCTGCAGGTGCTGCTTTTTTGCATCACTTCTGCCCTGTGATAGCCAGACAGCTTGCAAAATCCATCATTGCTGTATACGATAGGCCAGTCCACTATCTGAGCATTCCCCAACACAAAATTAGTATCTGTTAAGGAAAAAAAGGAAAAAAGGGTACATGGGCAACACATTAGTTGAGATTCAATGAGGACATAAATAATGTCAAGCAATCCAGATGTTTCTGTTTCCCTCCAAAATTTAGACTCTTGAACAGGAATGTGGCCCTATGAGGCGTACAAAAGAACAGTGTTTTAGAACTGAATATTTTGAATGCTAAGTGCTAAGATCACTGTACTCCAAATAGAAGTTAGAAAAGAAAGCATACTTAACCAACCAACCGATGACTCCTGCAGAAATCCAGTGGATTCCCATGAGACATATTCAAGTCCTAATTTTTCATCCAAGTGAAGGTATACTAATAGTATGGAGTAAGAGAGAACCCAAAAGTAATTTTTTCTGAGCTCTGTCCAACATCTTAGCCTTTCCAGTCTTTTGGCCAGAAGCTAAAAATGTGCCTTCTTCACCCTAACCAGGAGTTGCCCAACCTAGGAGGTCTCTCAGGAAGGTAGAGGAAGGAAGTAGAGCACTGCCTCATGGACACACACCACCATGGAAGGCTCTCCTTGGTAAGGAATACTAACTAGACCCTCTTAATACTAGAGCTTTGTAGAGGCTCATCCAGATGCTCACATAACAGGACCTTCTTGCTGAGCTTGAAATTCTTGCTGATTTAGAAATGCAGCCACAGAGCTGCATTTTGGGGCTCTGTCACACAGCAGTAGCCTACCACACACTCATGATGCAGGGTTTAGGTAGGCCAGTGTGTTTGGCCTGCTTAGTATGTTATGGTCACACTGCTTCCCACATTTTTGAAAATCAGTCCTCAATACTTTTTATGCTCAGGAAATCAACTGTACTTCCTTTCTTTTCAAGTACTTCAACTATGCAAATAACATCCAGAACTTAAATGTAATCATTATTTTAGTTTGGCCCCTCTTTTCCACAGACAACCCACCTACTTCCCCTACCCTCCAAAAAATGAAAGAACACGAACACCCTTGTTTAGTTGTAAACTGGAGAAGGTACTGTGTGTGTTTGAGTATGTGTGTACACATACTACCTAGAATGAAATAATGGTGATATATCATCATTTAATTGAAAGCATTTATAGCTTATTCACAATATAGTTAACCACCCCTTCAGATAGGCTTCTTCACCCTTCTTAGATGAGCTTATTCTTGATTTGGAAGGCCTGGAAAATGATTCCACTTCATATAGATACCATTGAAGACAAATGGCTTGGAAGAAGACAGGGCCTGAGAAAAGCTAAGGATTGTGGGGAACCAAGACCTTATAGAGGAGGGTGAGAGAGGAGGAATTGCTAATTACGGTAATCTATTCTTGAGAATGCTTGATCTATTTAAAAGGAACAGAAAATACAACATTTATGATGTGAATCTATAAAACCACTATTTTTAGAAATATGCTTTTAATGAAAATCTACAACCAGTCCTTCTCTCCTTCTCTCCCATATATACACACATTCTTCTTGAGTGTCAACTAGGTGCCAAGCACAGTGCAAGACCCTGAGGGTCTCCAGATTGATAAGAAACAGTCCCTGCACTCAAGAAACTTAGCAAGACAAATAGACACGTGGACAACTAACAAGAAACAGGTAAGAAAACAGTGAACTCTGTTTGAGGGAGGTAAAGGGCTGTGTCTCAGAGGGGATAACATTTGAACGTGCTCTAGTCTAAAAGGATGAGTAAGATTTATTCAAACTTTTTGAATGCCTATCATGTAACTGGCACAGATAATACAAAAACAATAGATATAGAAATTAAAATATGATCACTGTCTTGGTGAACTCAAGAGGGTATAAGAGAAGAAGGGAACATTCCAGGCCAAGGATCCAGTGTGGGCAAAGGCATGGCAGCACGGGACACAGCACAGGCTAGGGTAGACAAAGGACACCAGGAAGAGCAGCAGGAGGAGGAACTGGAGACCCAGACTGAGAAGGTCTTGAATGAATAAAGCCAAAGGGCTTTGATTTTATACTAGGGGCAGAATAATCCTTCATGTTGGTCTTCTTTCCCTGAATAAACTCACATTTCCTGAACCAAATAGTTTAGACTTAAAAGTAGTATAATATTTACTAAATTACTCCCAAGTGTATATGAAGCCTAGTCGGTTTAACCGTCTCTTTTGTTAACTCCTGAAATAGTAGTTAATTTCCCTCAAAACACCTAGAGCAGGAGGAAAATCTGAGTGTGCCTTTTCATGGCTAATGCTCCACTGAGATTATCTATGAGAAAAGAGAGAAGAGTAGCCAGTTATAGACAATGGATTGAGCACATGTGTTTATTTTCTTTTGTACACCAGACCCCAGCAAAATAAAAGTAAACAAGTTAAAAAGGTAAAAATCCACAAAAATGAAAATTAGATTAAAAAGAATGAACAAAAAAAATAACTGGAGAAGAATCAGCAATATTATAGGAAACAGAGAACTTTAAAAAAAAAAATCTTGAATTGGTATCCTTAGAGAGATTCAAGAAGTATTACATCCACAAAACAAAAACAGAATACTATGAGGAAAAAAAATAAAGGAACAAGAACCCTTATAAATTAAAAATGAATAGCCATTAAATATTCAACATGAACGTTAGAAGAGAAAGTCTAACAGAAAGTAGTGCAGAAAGAGAAAGAGACAAGAAACACAGAGAAGAAGAAAAAAAACACGTGGAGGATCAGTCCAAGAGGAAGAACATGTGCCCTAAGAGGAACGGCAGAAAGAACAACATGAGAAAAGGCCAGAAGACATTCTTTTTAAAATTAAAACGATCAAATGTGAGTGTATAATGAAGATATTTTCATATATACAACGATTAGGGGAAATCATTTACCACATATTCTTTCTTTGGCAGTTACTTGAGGATGTGTACCAGCAAAATGAGGGAATAAAGCAAAATGGAGGACAACATGGAAACCAGAAAAAAATAGCTCCAAATGTAAAAAGCAGGGAAGACAGCTAGTAGACAGTATTCAATACTAAACGGTTCAGAGACTAGACATTCCAAAAGTGAATTATCTAGAGGTAAAGAAGGTCAAGGCTTGATGATATTCTTGATCATTTGGAACAACATTGTCAATAAAGGTATACAATTTGTGAGGGCAGAAAAGGAAATTAAAAACATCAAAGAAAACAAAAATCATGCAAGAAGGGAAATCAAATCTCACTGTCACATCATAGGAATAAGTTTATTCCTTATTAATTTCCCATTTTTAAAACCAATACATAATAAATGATGGAATATTTAATTATCATAAGTATCTGAATGTAATCTCATTGATTCTGGCACTAAAAATACAGGTGATAAAGTTTAGGGAGAGAAAAGAGAACAATCATTAAGAGAATAAGAGATGGCATCTCTAGCTGATTATAAAATAGAATGGTATAAATATTTAACTTAAACCTACAAAGATAAACAATAAGAGAGTAATATAATTATATCAGGAGGAGGCTTAGGGAGTAAGATTAAGTGAGCTAAAACCTCAACTAATTAACAGAAGTCAACAGATAATATCTAAAATTGATAAATCTAGAAATGCATGTTATTTATAGACATGGCAGAAACTATAAGAAGAAAGCTAAAATTAGAAGATGTGGCCTCTGGTGAGTAGGATGGGAGGAGACAAGGCATAGAATGGTTTTTTACATTACATTACAAGCTCTTCTGCTTGATTTTTGCAAACATGAACTTACTGACTTTGATAAAAATAACTATGTACTTAATTTTTAATTAATTTAGTCATTACAGATTAACTTATTGATTAAATTTTTCACTTACTAAAAAATGAGAGCAAGATAGATTTCAAGCTCCAGATATCACTGATAGTTTTCACAGAAGTGTTCTGATCACCTTTTAAAGTTATTCATCCTTCCATAAACATACTCTTATCCCTGGTGGGCATATTACAGCCCCATCTGAGAAAAACCAAGCCTACTAGCATTTTCCTTGACTTTAGCAAGGAAACAGAAAAACAGGGAGCGCAGTAGGAATAGAATCATCAGCCTATCACCCACTCAGAAGATTCTCACCATAGAATTTAAAATTCCAAAATAATGTCCTCTCACTGCTAACCCAAGCAAGCAATTACAGCTCTAGGGAGCAAGATTCCCTTGCCACTCCATGATAGAAGGTCTAGGAATTCTCTCTTTACCCAAGGAGTTAGAGAGAATGGAAGAAAAATTTCTAGTCCCAGCCAGAAAGCTTTTTGCCTCCAACAGTATAGAAATTCTTCCCCCTTCCCTTCCCCTATTCCTAGCACGCACATTCTCTTCTATTCTAAGCCACAAATAATCGACCTGTAAATTACCTTCCAGAACGCAATCTGTTTATAGTTATGGGCTACCCAAACAAATGCCATAACACCACTCATATCATCAGGAATTAAGGGATTCCACAAAAGTGAGATTTTAGATATTAATACAAATGGGTATCATTTACTGATAATTACTCTGTACCAGGTACTGTTCTAAGTACTTTACCAAATATCATGGTGTTTTTTAACCTTTACATCAATCTTTGTGAAGTGATATTACTTTACTGAAGGAAGTCTCAGGGATTTCATCATTTTATTCATGAGGAAACTGAGTCTCTGAGGATGCACAGTAACCATTTATACCAGGGTAAAGTTGGGATTTGAACCTAGGTCTACGTGACTTCAAAATCCATGCTTTTAATCATTCTATTACATAGTCTCCTTATGCCATTAGATGCTAAAATCAGACCGTTTCTATGAACACTGTTATTATTGCCCTATGTTATTATTATTCTGCCTTTTGGTATACAATGATGCCCTCTGGAAATATTGATGTGAGTAGAGGTAATTGTTCCACTTCTAAATGCTTGGGTTCTCCTGTCTATTTTTTCAATGTTTTGTCTCTTCCCTCACTTGAAGACTAACATCTTTAACTTCTTAAAACTTAGTGTGCTGGCTAATTCCTATAACAGTCCTGCTTCCATACAATAGAAGAGGAGAAGGAACAGGAGAGAAGAGGGTAGACTTTGTGCCTGGCTCCCCGTT